GAGTCTTACTCTGTCGCCTAGGCTGAAGTACAGTGGCACGATCTTGCCTCACTGCAACCTCTGCCTCCGGGGTTCAAGCGATTTTTCTACCTCAGCCTCCCACGTAGCTGAAGCTGGAATTACAGGCACATGCCACCACGCCAGGCTAATTTTTGTAATTTTAGTAGCAATGGGGTTTTACCATATTGGCCAGGCTAGTCTTGAACTCCTGACCTCAAGTGATCTACCCATCTTGGCCTCCCAAAGTGCTGGGATTACAGATGTGAGCCACTGCTCCTGGCCTAATAAGTCATTCTTAAAAATTAGTTAAGAATGCTTGATAAAGTACTTCTACTTGTACCTTTTGAAGTGATGTGATAATTTTTGGCTTGTATTATTTTGAGAGTCTTGCTTTGTTGCCCAGGCTGGAGTGCAGTGATGAACCTCAGACCACTGCAGCCTCCACCTCCTGGGCTCAGATGATCCTCGGACTTTAGCCTCCTGAGTAGCTGGGTCTACAGGCCCAAGCCAACATGCTCAGCTAATTTGTGTATTTTTTATAGAGATGGGATTTTGCCAGTGTTGTCCAGGCTGGTCTCAAACTCCTGTGATCAAGCAATCTGCCTTCCTTGCCCTCCCAAAGTGCTGGGATTAGGCGTGTGAGTCACTGCTCCTGGCCTGGTTGGTTATTTTATAATTCTCTTCTTTGGTAGACTCTGATCTTTTTCAGTTGAACTTAATTCAGCTCTTTTTCAGTGTTTACAAAGATTAGCCCTAGAATTAAAAGATGACTGATTTTATAGCTGACCTTGATATTTCTATTTTTTACTTACCTTGGCAATAATCTGTACTTCCTACAAAACAATGAAGTGTTCTTTCATAAAATGACAATGGATATGTATTATAGAGAACAGAATAAAAAATACCCATAATCCTACCACCCTGTATGTATCTTTTACATAGTTGAAATAATAGTAATATATTACAGTTTGGTGGAGGTGATGCATAATTTTAAAAAATATTATAAAGTAAGACCTGTTTACTGTTTGAAGTTAAGGAAATATTAGAAATTATCAAAAGAGGGGACTAAAACTTACCTATAACTTTGTTACCTGGAGATAACCTTAGATCTTACTTGGTGAAACAGTATACTTTGTATTTTGTTTCTTCCCTGCACCCCGTAATATTTATGTCAGGGCAATTAAAATTGTCATTAAAAATTTACTGTAAATGATTTTTAATGGCAGCCCAATTTATTGTATAATGTACAATTATTAATATAAATACCTACTAATATTGGAGTAATAACCTATTTGCTTAGCATTGTGATAAATATCTTTATGTTTAAACCTATATTCTAGTTTATTTCTTAAAACTAAATTTTCAAAAGTGGAATTAATTGGGCCAAAAGGTACTGATTTTTTTAGTAAATGTAGCTAAACTGCTTTCTATCTAGAAATGTTCTACCAATTTTTATTTAATGTAGTTTCACTCTGACACATTCAAATTTTTTATCTGGATAGTTTTCAGAGAGGAAACCTTGATAAAATTAACATTTGGTTTGGTAAAGATGATGCACAGTATTTTTTAGATAATTTTTTTTTTTTTTTTTGAGTCTTGCTGTATTACCCAAGCTGGAGTGCAGTGACAGAATCTCAGCTCACTGCAGCCTCTGCCTCCCGGGCATAAACAATTCTCCCACCTCAGCCTCCGTGGTAGCTGGGACTACAGGTGCATGCCACCGTGCCTGGCTAATTTTTTTGCTTTGTAGACAGGGTTTTGCCATGTTGCCCAGGCTGGTCTGGAACTCCCTAGCTCAAGCAATATGCCTGCCTCAGCCTCCCAAAATGCTGGGATTACAGGCCTGAGCAACCTCACCTGGCTGGATAAATTTTTAATACATATTTTATTCTTAACATTCATAATTGCATGCAAAAAGCCCTTGTAGTTTGTGTCAAATTTCATGCATAGGATCGAAAGAAAATGTTTTATATGACTCTTAAGTTATCCTGAAGAACCGATAATGATACCCTGGCTTACTGTTAAATTTTCTAATTTGTTACACTGTTAAACTAAGAGACAATAATATCTTCATAGCTGAAAATTCTATTACAGATTTTTGATTTAGTTTGAATTTACATATTTTTATTTTTAGAACTAGTTTATTTTTTGATTAGGTGATGAATCAAGATTGGTTATCTAAGTTATTATTATTATTATTATTATTTGAGATGGAGTTTCACTTTTGTTGCCCGGGCTGTAGTGCAATGGTGCAATCTCAGCTCACCGTGATTTCAGCCTTCCGGGTTCAAGTGATTCTCCTGCCTCAGTCTCCTGAATAGCTGGGATTACAGGTGTGTGCCACCACACCCGCCTAATTTTGCATTTTTAGTAGAGACAGGATTTCTCCATGTTGGTCAGGCTGGTCTCGAATTCCCGACCTCAGGTGATCCACCTGCCTCGGCGTTCCCAAAGTGCTGGAATTACAGGTGTGAGCCACCGTGCCTGGCTAAGTTATTTTAACATAGTAAACTTTGAATTGCTTTGGGCAAGAGACATTATATGTATTGAGAAATTCAAATAAAAGGAGATGTGTGTTTTTTTTTGGTGATTAACTTTTTTATTGTGGCAAAAATATAAAATTTATCATCTGAACCATTTTTAAGTGTACAGCTCAGTAGTGTTATAAGCATACTTAGGTCATTATGAACAGATATTCAGAACTTTAGCATCCTGAAAAGATCCAGGGACCTGTGGAGCTTCTTCTATACTTTGAAGAACTATAGTTTTACTATACTTAGAGAACATATTACTTCATCTGGAGAAAACAAAGACTCAGAGAACTCTAGAAATATAAAGAATCTCTTAAAAAATATCATCTAAAAGATTAGTAATTATTTTTATCACCCTGTGTTCATATTTCCCCATTGTCTCATAATGTTTTCATAATTTGTTGAAATTAGGAGCCAAACAAAATCCATACTGGTTACATTTGTTGGTCAATATGCCATTTGTTTATTTAATTAATTTATTTTTTTGAGATGGAGTCTTGCTCTGTCCCCCAGGCTGGAGCACAGTGCACATTCTTGGCTCACTGCAACCTCTGCCTCCCGGGTTCAAGGGATTCTCCTGCCTCAGCCTTCCAAGGAGCTACTATTAGAGGCACGTGCCACCATGCCCAGCTAATTTTTCATATTTTTGATAGAGACAAGGTTTCACCATGTTGGCCAGGCTGGTCTCGAACTCCTGACCTCAGGTGATCTGCTTACGTCAGCCTCCCAAAATGCTGGGATTACAGGCAAGAGCCACCGTGCCTGGCCTTAATATGCTTTTTAAATTTTAATCTGTTGGTTGCCTCCTCCTTTTTTTCCTTTATAATTTATTGTTGAAGTCATTTGTTCTATATAATTTTCCTCATTCTGGTTTTGGCTGAGTGTATCTCTGGCAAAATTTAACATATTTTTCAGTTTTCTGTATTTCCTGTAAATTTACGGGTAGACAGATGCTTGGTTAGATTTACTTTCAGTTCTTTTTTGGCAAGATTCCTAGTTGGTGACATGTATTTCTTTACATCAAGAAAATGTGTTTTGTGACGTTAAAATCAGTCGGTCAGTTCAGGTGTTGTCAGCTTGATTCATCTATTATAAAATTCCCAGTTAACTTTTCTCTAATAATTTTAGCATCTATTGCTAATTGTTGCCTCATTGCAGTATATCAGTTTGTATTGTAAAAGGTGATATTCCTTCTCCAGCCTTCTGAATTTACTGGGGGGGATTCTTTAGTAAGGAAGACCTCTTCCTCATATACTACTTCATTATCCTGAAAGTATTTCTATAGAAAATGCCAGAATAAAATGTGACTTTTTTTTTTCTTTTTACCTACACATTTGCAGAATAATTAATTTATGACCTAGGAGCCTCAGAAGATGACTAGAGTTTTGTTTTGTTTTTGTTTGTTTGTTTGTTTTTTAGTATTATAAACTCATGAATTTTTGCCTCCCATTGGAGATGTTCAAATTATTCTTTGACCAGTGGCAGCGTATGTCCTTGGCACAATTGCAGTGGTCTGTAATAGTTTCCTAAAATATACAAGGTGAAGCTCCTCTCGTATATTTTCTTACTCAGATTTAGAATCAGAATTCTAATTCCTTTCAGTGGGAAATGGTATTTAGAGATTATAATCTGGGTGATATTGTTGTATATTCCTACAAGGTTGTCACTGTTCATAGGCCTTTTGGTGGACAGAACTAGAAAAATGATACAGAAAGAGAACAATAATTCATGTGTTCCATATGCTATTTCTAATTCAGATAGTAGATGATAGAGTTTTACTTCATTTTAAAATCTACATTTGTATTTTTCCTCAACCTGGAAAATATGGTTCTGACAATAAGATTATTGAATTGCAATATAAAATCTGGGGGAGGGAACTATTCTATTCTATTAGAAGATTGGAGGGTTTACAGATACAAGTGCCTAAAGGAGCCAGACAGCCAGATGAATACATCAGACCTGTTATGAAAATCGTTAGGGAATGGTGGGAGTTGATAAGCTGGAGAACATATATGCCATCTAAAGGAGGCATCTGCGACTTGCCCGTAAATGATTTTTGCCAAGAGGGATTTTGCCAAGATGGGTACAGTATTACTTGTTTTTTTTTTTTTTTTTTTTCATTTTTAAAAAGAAGATGTAAATCCAAATATTTTATGTGAAATTATTTAGCTTTTAAATATTGACAATAAAATTGACAACTAAGTCAAAGTTTTAAAAAGGCCTTTTGAGCCAAACAATGATTTCTTCCATAGGTTATTAGTTTGTAATCTCTTGTGAGAAAGATCTAAGGATTTTTCCAGACCTTTGGCAATCTGAAAAGAGTATGAGAAAGGGAACTTAATCATCTTGGTTTTACTAATCATGATTGCATTTATTTATCTAACTCTTCTTTTTTAGCCTTAAAATATTAAAACAGCCCTATTGATCATTTATTTTGCTTTTCCTTTCTTTTTTGCACATTCACAATAGGAACTTACAACGTCTCAGAAAAATGGTGGGAATGTTCTTCAGATGATGTATGAGAAACCAGAACGATGGTCTTTTACCTTCCAAACATATGCCTGTCTCAGTCGAATAAGAGCTCAGCTTGCCTCTCTCAATGGCAAGCTCAAAGATGCAGAGAAACCGGTATTATTTTTTGAACGATCTGTGTATAGTGACAGGTATGTATAAATGACTTTACTTGGCCATTTAAGGTTTTTGTCTTAGAACTGGACATTTTTTCTTTTTCTTTCTTTCTTTTCTTTTTTTTTTTTAATGTTTCCTGGGAATTGGTAATATGAATGGCTGAGTTGGGAGATTTAAGATAGAAAATGACATTTAAATCCCTCAGCAGTCTGGTACTAATGGCATTAGAAAAGTTATTGCATTTATAATACCTAGCTTCCATAGAAACTGTTGGGAACATGGTGGTGGCCATCTCAAATTAAATTTGCAGAGAAGTTGTTTTTCCCTCTAACCCTTTTAAAATTATCATGTACTCTGGTTAAATCTGGATCTATATCCTAGACTCTTACCTGGAGCAAGAAGATAAAAGTCTCTAAGGGGCCTTAGAATTGCTAGTTATGCTAGGATTCTTTTGACCTCCAAAATTAGCTCAGAAAAGAGGTTCTCAAACTTTTGATCTTAGGACCTTTTTCAATTTTTAATAACTATTGAGGCGTGCAAAGGGCTTGTCCTATTGATATTTAGGTTACTAAAAATTAAGATGCATAAAAATGATTTAAAATTAATAAATTCATTACATATTAATATAAATTTGACAAAAACAATGATATTTTCTAAAATAAAAAGTAGCTAGAAGAGTGTCATTGCTTTACATTTTTGCAGATATCTTTAATACCTTGACTTATTTAAAAAGAGCTGGATTTTTATTTATGCTTCTGTAGTTAATCTGTTAACGGTATGTTCATTTGTTTGAAGTATGTTGGTATATGAAGTAACCTGGCCTCTCACAGAACCCCTTAGAAGATCTTGGGGATTTATGGAATCCTCACTCCATATTTTGAGAACCATTGGCCAAGAACATATTTCCTGTAGATGGAAAGACTTCTGTCTTTTTCAGCTGTCCACGGCACTACGTGCCACTGGATTTAGGATAATGTTTCATGTTCTTATTCTCTTTTTTATTTCTTTGTTGGTTTTTTTGGAAATGATATATGTGTTGATGAAGACTCTCTTTTAGGTATATTTTTGCATCTAATTTGTATGAATCTGAATGCATGAATGAAACAGAGTGGACAATTTATCAAGACTGGCATGACTGGATGAATAACCAGCTTGGCCAAAGCCTTGAATTGGATGGAATCATTTATCTTCAAGCCACTCCAGAGGTAAAACACAATAAAAATGTGTTCCATAACAATTTAAAGAAATATTTAGAACTCTTTTCAGTGGTATGTAATGAGGGCAATTTAGTTTAATTCCAGCCTTCCAACCTCCCACTCCAAATTAGAAACTTGTAACTGTATAGATAGAGGTATTGTTTTTTCTCAGCAAACTGGAATCACAGACTGGCCAAGTTGCTTTTTTAGGCTCTTTATGCTTCCTCAATTCTTTTTTATTTTTACTCATTGTTTCTTCCCAACATTTGCAGACTCTCTTATTCACCACAATTAAAGTAAGGAATGTGGTCAAGCAACTCCTAGAATATAGGCTTCATGAGGTGGGACCTTGGGTGTTTTGATTACTGTTGAATTTCCAGTCCCTAGAACAGTTCTAGGCACTGTTGGAGCACATAGTAAGGGCTCAGTAAATATTTATTGAATGAATGGAGTATGGAGATCCTTTTCAAGAAATCTTTTATTATGGTTGTTTGTGGCTTGGAATGAGTGGATAATGCCAGCTATAGTTGGGAAAAGACTTAGAGGACCATTTTCAATTAAGAGAGTTCACTTGAAAAAGTGCTTTTTGTGATAGGTTGTAACATAGCTATTCTAATTACATATGATATTATATAATGAATACAGAAAGACCAAATAGATACTTTTCATAAAACTAACCTAAATATTAAGATCTTACATTTAATCAGAAGCTTTCTGGTTTTGGTGCTTTCATCCTATTGTTTCTGTTTTTTAATTCTCATTTCTTCCTTAAGTCACAGGGTAGGCACTGATGAATGTAAATGTCATAACTTTTGCCTTAAAATTAGTTAGAATACTGTGTTGCTATCGAAGCTGGGTTTTTAAAGAAATTAGGTTTCCGATTCCAACGAATGATTTTGTTCTTCATTAAGTGAGGATTTAGCAATTCTTTAGTAATTTCAAAAGTGACTTTTTCATTTCAACTTTGAAATTTATTTTTATTTCTGAAAGTTTTTTGTTTTTAATTACAATCATAGTAAATAAAAATGTGAAAAATAACATAAAGAATAATAATTTCATTTTACTTGAAACATAATCAATATTTAGTAAGCTAGAATTTAGCAATTATAATTTCAGAATTCACTTTTATTTTTGAAAATATTTCTTAAAGTTATGAAAAATAGTACAAATCAAAAAACATAAAGAGTACTAATAATTTCATTTTGATAGAAACATTCATATTATCTTAAAGTCTAGCACACAACTTTATGTCATCAGTATTGTTTCTGATATCCTTTGATGAAAGGATTGTTTAATTATTGAAAAGAGAATTTAGAGTAGACTTTGCAACAGTTTGTATGCTGCCGTGGTCTTAATGCATGTCATTTAGGTTGGAGGTTTTTATTTCTTGAAATGCATGAAGAGTTTCTCAGGGTCTATGAACCCCTAAAAATTATACAAAAGTTTTTATTTAGGTGTACTTTTGGGGGAACATAATCCAGAGCTGCACTGTCCAATGTGGCTATTTAAATTTAAGTTTATTAAAATTAAATAAAATTTAGAAATTTAGTTCCTTGGTCACCACATAAGCCATATTTCAAGTGCTTAAAAACCACAGGTGGCTAGTGGCTGCCTTATTTGATAATGCAGCTGCAGGACAGGCATAAAGCATTCCAAAGTTGTTTTGGTTGTGCTGGTATAGAGCTTTCATCACATTAAGAACCACTGCCTTTAGTGGTTTTACATGAACTGAACATAGATGTTTTATAATCAAGTTTGATTAACAGCGAAGTAAGATTACCTTTATAGACTGGCCTATCTTTTAGCTATTGTTTCTGAAAATTTTAAGTAGATGTTTAATTTTTTTTTTTCTCCTTTTTATCAAACTTAGTATATTTCATGTGTGGATACCAAAAATTTATAGACTTATTTTAACTTATTTTTGAAAGTACTGCTTGGTTTAGAGCCACCATGTGGCTGAAAAGGTCATGGAGGGAAAAATAAATTATTTCAACTTTTAAGAAGTAGTGTGTAGAAATTTTGGCTAGTATGAGTGGAGAGACCCAGAAAAGAAAATTTTGATGGCAGCAGACAAGAATAATTATTCCTGTCTTTTTCTTCCATCTCTTATTACTTGCTTTTAGACATGCTTACATAGAATGTATTTACGGGGAAGAAATGAAGAGCAAGGCATTCCTCTTGAATATTTAGAGAAGCTTCATCATAAACATGAAAGCTGGCTCCTGCATAGGACACTGAAGTAAGACGTCCTTATTTTTATTTACTATTCGTTCTAAATATCTTTGTTAAATTTTAATCTAAAATTTGGAAGTTATGACTAGGAACATGTAAAATTTTCAGTCATTTACTTATTCGTATCTTCTAGAAGTAGGTATAGATTTTGATTCTCTTGATTGCAATGAGATCCTATTTTCTTAAAGTTTTTATAACTTTATAAAAACTTGGTAATATTGATAGCATAACATATGAAATTTCACCTTAAATGAAAGTAGGAAATATATCTGTACATTATTTAGGTACTCTTTCAGAAAGAATTTTGACTTGGGAGATTGTATAGCATAATTGTTGAGAGGATAGACTTTGTTATTAGTCAGATCTTGGCTCAAGTCCAGTCTCACTTATTAATGTGTGACCTTGGGTAGCCTCTAAGCTTCAGAATGACGATTCTGAGCTTTAGTTTTCTCATCTTTAAAATGCAGAAATTCCTACTTTATTGTCTGTTTTTTGTTTTTGAAGAGAATTGTATGTTACAGTACCTAGCTTTATATATTTTGTATCTGAGTTTTTTGGCTCCATATGGTAAATCTAGATGAGAAAGAAGGGCCTGACAGATAAAGTATTGCAAAATAACTTTAGTGTAAATGGTTGACAACATTTTGAGCTTCCAATGATATAAGAATGAATTTTTAATGTTTCTCTCTTTTTTCAAACATTTCTGATTATTTTATTAATCTCTTTTTAAACAGAACCAACTTCAATTATCTTCAAGAGGTGCCTATCCTAACACTGGATGTTAATGAAGACTTTAAAGACAAACATGAAAATCTGGTTGAAAAGGTAGATTCTTAGACTACAAACTAATATTTGTTTTGTCTAAAAAAATGTACTAACTTGTGAGAAAACAATTTTCTAACAGAAAAGATTCCATAAAGTTACATTAAGAAACAGTTAAGAGCTTTAGAAGATTTTGGACTGTTCGGATCCCAGTCCTGACTGAATTCTAGCTTTGTGGCCTGAGCTAAAATAAGGATGCTTCAAAATCTCAGAACCTGACAGATCTCTTAGAAAAAAATTAAATAAATAAGGATTTTTTTTTTTATCCTTTAGCGCCCTTTTTTGTAGGATAGGGAAAATCGTAACAAAAATTCTTTCTCACTCCCTTTTTCTCTGCTTTGTCCCATTTCTTCCTCTCTTCCCTATACCACCAAGCTTTAGATACTTTAATAATAAACTGCTTGTGAAATTAAATTTATCTTTTCAACCAAATTCAATATGGAGGATATTTAAAGTTGTAGGATGTGGATCTCATCCATTTTTATGTTGGCTAAAGTCTTGTGATTAAAGGATTAAAAGTTTTGAATTTCATCTCAGATCATGTCAAGGATTATTTGACATTGCCTAATCATTGAGTCATTATCTTAATCGTAGTTCATTTATCACCCAGATCAGTGGGAGTTGACCATATTCTGTTACGTAAGTGGTGCCCATATTGATGAAGGGACTGGGTGAGAATTTATTGATGAACATTGAGAGAGAATAATAAGGGGATTTGTATAACAAATGTCCCTATACCCGTGTTGATAACTCAGTAATTAAACTATAAAGAAGAAACCACAATTTGTTTGGTTTAGTTTTGAGAGAAATTTGATTTTTCCTTTCTTTTGTGACATATCTGCTGTTTAATAGAGACTTAACATTCATAAGGGATATATTTCAAGAATCTTGAAAATCTTCACATTTTATGTAACTACTGTACTCTATACATGTAGTTGTTTTTCCCATTGATATGAACTAAAGCTTATCTGGAAAATTCCAGTGACCTCTTCATACTATTAATGATGTTAAAAATATAGGACAAATTCTCTTATGATACTATTAAAGTAAATGAAATTAAGTCAGTATTAACAACTAACCATCAATTTAACTGACTTTGTAAAACCACTTTTTAATTTTATCTAACACTACTTTGTTTTGCCTAAGAATCATTCACATTATTATATTTACTTTTATTAATAGTGCTAGCAGTTGACTTTCTTTTTAAAGTATTTTTACAAGGCGATAATCTTTGTCTCTTGAGAATTATTGATAGAATATGTAAAGAACAAGTGTATTCTTACATTGTGGTCAGTTGGCTAGGTTCATTGACTCCTTACGTATATGATTTTCCCTACACACTGACATTGCAGAGTATATAATTCACATCTGTGCTTCAGAAACATGACAAATCTACTATATGTTTCATCTTCAAAGTTGCTTGAACTATTGTGCTTATTAATTTTATCAGTGTTAAAGCTGCACATGTCAATAGTCTATGGTATTTAAATAAAGAGATTATGAAATTGGTGTTACAGCTATTTTTAGAATTATGTCAATCTTAGATTGATGGATGCAGTGACTCATACCTATAATCCCAGCATTTTGGGAGGCTGAGATAGGAAGATTGCTTGAGCCCAAGAGTTCCTGACCAGACTGGGCAACATGGCAAGACCTCATTTCTATAAAAAACAAACAAAAACTAGCCAGACATGGTGGTGTGTGCCTAGCCAGGAGTTCAGGGCTGCAGTGACCTGTGATTGAGCCACTATACTCAGCCTGGGCAACAGAGCAATAAACTGCTAAAATGACCTTTTAGGTCATTCATCTTTTACTACTGAAGTATTTAATAGTATTTCTTTTTTTTTCCAGACAGTCTTGCTCCATCACCCAGCCTGGAGTACAGTGGCATGATCTCGGCTCACTGTAATCTCCACCTCCCAGGTTAAACCAATTCTGCTGCCTCAGCCTCCCAAGTAGCTGGGATAACAAGTGCACGCCTCCAAGCCTAGCTAATTTTTGTATTTTTAGTAGAGACGAGGTTTCACCATGTTGGTCAGGCTGGTCTTGACCTCCTGACCTTAAGTGATTCACCCACCTCGGCCTGCCAAAGAGCTGGGATTACAGGCATGAGCCACTGCACCCTGCCTTAACAACATTTCTTTGGAAAGTAAATGCTATGACATTGTGATCGTTACTTATACAGCTGGGGTCTTCAACTAATATACTTTTAAATGAAGATGAATATTAGATATCTAAAATTAGTCAAGGAATTATATTGATTTTTTTTCCTTTCCTCAGGTCAAAGAATTTTTGAGTACTTTGTGAAGACTGCAGGCAGCCAAATGGTTCCAGACCCTTCAGCTTTGTGTGTCTTCCTAACTTCATATTAATACAAGTTTGTTTAGAAAACCCAAGTTTTTAACCATCTTCGTTCTAAGGAAAACAAAAAGATTTTTAAAATGAATCTTATGGAAAGCTTTTTGACCAGTTTTTTTTTCTTTTCTTAAAAAAAAAAAAAAAAAAAAAGACATTTAAAGACAAATACATTATTTCTCATAGCAGGAAGTGTAGGGGTAGATGGTTCCAGAATCAGTTTAGTGGCTAAACTACATTATAAAAGATCCAGCTTCCTTCTGTCTTGCCACTCTTTTGTCTTCCTTGGCAGTTAGCTTTTTTCCCTGGTGCGTCTCACCTCACTGGTAACCAGTTTCTTAACTGAAAGCTTTAATGTTACACAGTAATTGGTAGTGTGCCCTGTGTAAATTAGTGTACCTATTAAAAGTTGCAAAGGGGAATTAAAGGAATCCCTAGAATAAGGATTCTAAAGTTTTATTTTAAATGATTATTTCTTAGCAGTTTAGCCCACCTCTTATTTCCTGCCTCAGTTTGCTTTCTCTACTGTCTGGATTAATTAGGTAGCCTGCTATTTCAAAGTTAAAATAAAAGTCACACATTTCTACTTTGCAAACACTGTGTTACTGTTTGCTTTCTAGTTTGCTTTCCTTTGTAGGGTTCTGCTTTAAGTTTTTTCCCTTTTTCAGAGAAATTACTGATAAAAAATGATCCTGCTTTATATATAGTATATCCTGAAAGCATTATTGTTTTTTGTTGAACTAGGAAATAAAATTAATGAAGACAGAGGTTAGTAGTTAATTGAGTCATTTAACTACTTATTTGTAAACCATCTATGCGAACATTTGTAAAAACTTGCATGGATTCATCTTAGTTCTGTATATAAAGATACTTTCTTTCTAGTTTGTTTAGTTAAGGTGTGCAGTTTTTCCTGTGTATTAAACCTTTCCATTTTACATTTTAGAAAATTTTATGCATTTTAAAATGAAGGAAGAGTCACTTTCACTTTGAAACTATTATTTTTCTTCCTAAAATGTCATTTTTGTTTTTGGTTTTTTATTCAAAATGATAATTTAGTGGATTAACCAGTCCAGATGCACTGATCTTTGCAAAGGGGACTTAATTTCAAATCTGTAATTACCGTACATATTTGAACTGTCTCATGATAGGTATACATTTTTTTTTGTTTGGTATAAATGAATGTGTCTACTTAATTAAATATTTCTTAATAAGTATAAACCTCATGTACTACAGTGTACCTGTTTTCATGGAAATTGTTACATCTTTTCAGAATTAAAATTTATTCTACTTTTAAAGAAAAAAATATGAATATTAAAGGTGAAAATTGTCTGTACAAATTACATTGATTCTATTTTAAGTGTAGACATATTTCAGTGATTTTTATTAACCTTTAAAAATGTGTAATGACTTTAAAAATTTGTAGAATTGAAAAGAAGCTAATAAAAATTTATTATTTATTTGTCATGACTCAAAAGTTGTCCCAGTGTGTTGGTCATAAGAGAATTTAGCCTAGTGGTGGTCTGCATTATGTCTTGGATCTCTTACCTATATCATGTCTTCCATTAGAATTTATATATGGCTCTTTATAGGTTGCTCTCCTAGAAAGGTAATTAATAATATAAGACTTATTTTTCTCCAGAATTTTCTCTTCTGCTATGCCTAAAACTTAAAGCATTATATACTGAGCCACCTAGAACTTACCGTCTAGGTGTCATATTTTAAAGAACAGAGTTGTAAAATGTTTCTAAAATAGAGATGCAGATCTTACTATCTTAGAAAAATAAATGCTAGATACATTGCAACATTAAGTGTATATAAATTCTGGTAAATAATAGCCTTCTTAATTTGACTAACTTACCTCTTCTTTTAATTTTTTTAAGAGACAGGGTCTTGTTCTGTCACCTAGGCTGGAGTACAATGGCACAATCATAGTTTACTACAATCTTAAACTCCTGGGCTCAAGCAATACTGCCTTAGCCCCTTAGGGACTATGGGGCTTGCACCACCATGATGACTAACTGTTTAAAATTATTTTTTGTATAGATGGGGTGTTGTTGCCCAGGCTGGTCTCAAACTCCTGGACTCACGTGGTCATCCTGCCTTGCCCTCCCAAAGCACTGGGATTACAGGCATGAGCCACTGTGCTCTGTGCTAAAAATTTTTTTTGAAATAGCTTTTGACTCATAAAAGTTGCAGCAATATTACAGAGTTCCTGTTTACCTGTCACTTAGTTATTTCTCTATGATAACACTTTATTTAACGAGTATTTTATCAAGACAATTAACTTTCGTGTACTACTATTAACTAAACTACAGACCTAATTTGGATTTTACCAGTTTTATGTCTTATTTTAATTCATAAACTTTAAAACATCTTTATTTTTTATTTTTTAAGAGCAGTTTTAGGGTCATAGCAAAATTGAGCAGAAAGTAAAGCATCTCATATACTCAACTGTTTCTCCTTTGCCCTCCAGAACCATCCCTACTGTCAGCATTTCCTTCCATACTTGGTACATTGGTTGCAATTAATGAACCTACATCAACATATTACCCAAAGCCCATGGCTTGCATTAGGGTTTATTCTTGGTGTTATACATTCTGTGGGTTTGGACAAATGTATGATATTTATCTGCCATTGTTTTTACTGCCTTAAAAATCCCCTGTTCTGCCTGTTCATCCCCTCCATCCCTGTCAACTAATCCTTTTACTATATTCATAGTTTTGTATTTTCTAGAATGTTATATACCTGGAATCATATAGCACGTAGCCTTTTCAGATGGGCTTCATTCACTTTTCACCTAGTAATATATATTTAAGTTTCCTCCATGACTTTTCATGGCTTGATCACTCATTTTTTAGTGCTGAATACTATTCCATCATCTGATGTAAAACAGTTTACCCACCAACCTACTGAAAGATGTCTTGGTTGTTTTGAGGTTTTGGCAATTATGAATAAAGCTCCTATAAACATCCATGTGCGGGTTTTTGTGTGGACTAAGTTTTCAACTTCTTTGGGTAAATATCAAGGAGAGCAGTTGCAGGATTGTATGGTGAGAATATATTTAATTTTATAAGAAACAGTCAAATGGTATTTGAAAGTGGATATGTGCCCTTTTGTATTCCCACCAGCAATGAAAGAGTACGTATTGTTCCATACCCAGCCACTTCAGTATTTGGTGGTGGTAGTATTTTGGATTTTGGTCATTCTTATAGTTCTATAGTATATCTCCTTTTAATTGTGATTCCCTAGTGACGTCATGTTGAACATCTTTTCACATACTTGCCATCTGTATATCTTCTTTGGCAAGGTTCTGTTTGAGTTTTGAGGGTCATTTTCTTGTTGAGTTTTGAGTTTTTTGTATGTTTTAGATGACAGTCCTTTTTCAAGTGTCTTTTGGAAATATTTTTTTCCCCAGTCTATGGCTTGTCTTACTCTGTTGGTATTTTCATAGAGCACAAGTGTTTTATTTTAATGAGGTTCAGTTTTATCAGTTATTTCTTTCATGGACAGTGCCTTTGATGTTGTAGCTAAAAAGTCATTGTTCTGCCCAAGGTCATCTAGTTATCTTCTAGGAATTTTTATAGTTTTGCATTTTAAATTTAGGTCTATTATCTTTTTGGGTTAATTTTTTATGAAAGGTGTAAGGTTCGTGTCTAGGTTTATTTTTTTGCATGTGGATATCTACAAAGATTGCCTTTTCTCCATTGTATAACCTTTGCTCCTTTGTTGAAGATCAGTTGACATTTATGTAGATCTATTTCTGCGTGTTCTGTTCCATTGGCCTATTTACCAGTTCTTTTGCCAATACCACACTGGCTTCATTGCTGTAGCTTTAAAATAAATCTTGAAGTCAGATAGAGTCAGTCCTCCAACTTTGTTCTCTTCTTCTTCTTCTTTTTTTTTTTTTTGAGACAGAGTCTCGCTCTGTTGCCCAGGATGGAGTGCAGTGGTATGATCTCTACTACTGCAACCTCCGTCTCCCGGGTTCAAGCAATTCTCCTGCCTCAGCCTCCTGAGTAGCTGGGATTATAGGCATGCCACCACCATGCCCGGCTAATTTTTGTATTTTTAGTGGAGATGGAGTTTCACCGTGTTGGTCAGGCTGATCTTGAACTCCTGACCTCATGATCCACCTGCCTCGCCCTCTCAAAGTGCTGGGATTATAGGCGTGAGCCACCGTGCCTGGCCTACTTTGTTCTTCTTTAACATTGAGTTGGCCGTTCTGAGTTCTCTGCCTTCCATTTAACCTCATTTTTATTAAGTATTATTTTTTCGAGACAGGTTCTCACCCTGTCTTCCAGGCTGGAGTGCAGTGGCACAATCACAGCCCAATGCAGCCTTGAATTCATGGGTTGAGGGGATCCTCCCACCCCAGCCTCCCGAGTAGCTGGCCCCATAGGCACATACCATCACGCCCAGCTAATCTTTAATTTTTTTTGTAGAGTTGAGATCTCACTATGTTACCCAGGCTGATCTCAAACTCCTTGGCTCAAGCAATCTTGGCCTCTCAGAGTGTTGGGATTACAGGCATGAGCCACCATGCCTGGCCCTTTCCATATAAACTTTAGAATCAGTTTGTCAATATTTACAAAATAAATTTATGGAATTGGTTGAGATTGTGTTGAATTTGTAGATCAAGTTGGGGAGAATTGAGCATCTTGACAATGTTGATTCTTCCTATTTATGAACACAGAATATCCATTTAGTTGTCATATTTCATCAAAGTTTCGTAGTTTACTTCATGTAGATCTTGTACGTGTGTTGTAAGTGTTACATCTAGGTATTTCATTTTTAGGAGTGATAATGTAAATGGTATTGTTTTATATTTCAAAATCTGCCTCTTTATTGCTGGTTTATAGGAAAGCAATTGTTGGAAATTAACTTTGTATTCTGCCACTTTGCGTATTAGTTCCAGGAGTTTTTTGTGATTATTTCACATTTTCAACATAGACTATCATGTCATCTATGAAGAGACAATTTTATATATTTTTTCCCTGTCCAATCTGTATACCTTTTATTTCCTTTTCTTGTTTTATTACATTAGTTAGAACTTCCAGTATGATGTTGAAAAGCAGTGGTGAGAGTAGACATCCTTGCCTTCTTTCTGATCTTAGTGATAAAACTTTGAGTTCCTCACCATTAATATAATATTAGCTATAGGTTTTTAGTAGATGTTCTTTTCAAGGTGAGGAAATTGCCCCTCTATTCCCAGTTTGCTGAGTTTTTATCATGAATGATTGATTTTGTTAATGCTTTTTCGGTATTAATGTGATTTTGATTTTTTTTGTTTAGCCTGCTATTGTGATGGATTACATTAATTGATTTTTGAATGTTAAGCCAGGCTTGCATACTGATATGATCTGGCTGTGTTTCCACCTAAACCTCATCTTGAATTGTTCCTATAATCCCCACGTGTTGAGGGAGAGTCCAGGTGGAGACAATTGAATCATGGGGGCAGTTTTCCCCATCCTGTCCTCGTGATAGTGAGTTAGTTCTCATGAGATCTGATGGTTTTATAAGGGGCTTCCCCTTCACTGGGCCCTCATTTTTCTTCTCCCTGCCACCACATGAAGGAGGATATGTTTGCTTCCCCTTCCACCAGGATTATAAGTTTCCCAAGGCCTCACCAGCTGTACTGAACTGTGAGTCAATTAAACCTCTTTCCATTATAAATCACCCATTTTCTAGCAGTTTTTTTTTTTTAATGTTTTTGTTTTTTGGATGGAGTTGTGCTCTTGCTGCCCAGGCTGGACTGCAATGGCGTGATTTTGGCTCACTGCAATCTCTGCCTCTTGGTTCACTGCAATCTCTGCCTCTTGGTTCAAGTGATTCTTCTGCCTCACCCTCCCAAGTAGCTGGGATTACAGGCATGCGCCAACCACACCTGGCTAATGTCTTTGTACTTAGTAGAGATGGGATTTCACCATGTTAGGCTAGTCTCGAATTCCTGACCTCAGGTGATCCACCCTCCTCGGCCTGGCAAAGTGCTGGGATTACAGGTGTGTGCAACTGCACCTGGCCTCTGGCCGTTCTTTATAGCAGTGTGAGAATGAACTAATACATGTACCTAAAATAAATTCCACTTGATTATAGTGTATAATTCTTTCTATGTTGTTGGATTCAATTTGCTAATATGTTACTGAAGATTTTTGCATTTATGTTCATGAAAGCTGTGTAGTTTCCTTGTAAAGTCTTTGGTTTTGCTATTGGGATAATGCTGGCTACATAGAATGGGTCGGGAAATATTCTGCTTGTAGTAATTGGTGTAGTTTCTTCCTTAAATGTTTAGCAGAATTAACCAACATAACAATACGGGCCTAATGACTTCTGTTTTGGAAGGTTATTAATTATTGATCCAGTTTCTTTAAAAGATGCAGACATTCAGATTGTTTCTTCTGTGAGTTTTGGCAGATTGTGTGTGCCTTTTAAGGAGTTGTTTCACTTAGTTTATTAAATTTGTGGGCCTAGAGTTGTTTATAATATTCCTTTATTAACTTTCTAATGTCCATGGGGACTGTAGTTGTGTCCCCTTTTTCTTTTCTTTTTTTTTTTTTTTTGAGATGGAGTCTTGCTTTGTCACCCAGGCTGGAGTGCAGTGGCTTGATCACGACTCACTGCAACCGCCACCTCTTTGCTTCAAGTGATTCTCCTGCCTCAGCCTCCTGAGGAGCTGGGATTACAGGTACCTGCCACCATGCCCAGCTAATTTTTGTATTTTTAGTAGAGATGGGGTTTTGCCATGTTGGCCAGACTAGCTTTGAACTCCTGACCTCAAGTGATCCACCCGCCTTAGCTTCCCAAAGTGCTGCAATTACAGATGTGAGCTGCCATGCCTGGTGCCCTCTTTCATTTTTGATATTAGTAATTTGTGTCTTCTGTTAGACTGGCTAAAGCTTAGCAATTGTTATTGACCTTTTCAAAGACCCACCTTTTTGTCTGACTGATTTTTCTCTATTGATTTCCTGTTTTCTATTTTATTGATTACTCTAATTTTGATTGTTCCTTTTCTTGTGTTTATTTCAGATTTAATTTGTTCTGTTCGTATTTCCTGTGGTAAAAACAGATTATAATTTTAGATCCTATTTTCTAATATACACATTCAATGCTATAAATTGAGTCTGAGTACTGCTTTCACTGCATCCCATTTTAACATTTATTTTTATTCTAAATATTTTTAAAAATGTCTCTTGAGAGTTTGTTTATTTGCCTGTTTGTTTGGAGACAGAGACTCCCTCTGGCACCCAGGCTGGAGTGTAGTGGCATAATCTCAGCTCACTGCAACCTCCGCCTCCTGGATTCAAGTGATTCTCCTACCTGAGCCTCCTGACAGGCATGCACTACCATGCCCCGCTAATTTTTTGTATTTTTAGTAGAGATGGGGTTTCACTGTTTGCCAGGCTGGTTTTGAACTCCTGACCTCAAGTGATCTGCCCACCTTGGCCTCCCAAAGTGCTAGGATTGCAGGGAGTGAGTCACACGCCTGGCCTCTTGAGAGATTTTTAACCCATGTGTTATCTAGAAATGTGTTAGTTTTCAAGTAATTGGGACTTTCCAGCCATCTTTCTGTAGCTGATTTCTAGTTTAATTTCCTTGTGGTCTGAAAGCAAACATTGCATGATTTCTATTCTTTGAATTTGTTAAGGTATGCTTTATGGTGCAGAATGTAGTCTATCCTGGGGAATGTTTTATATGAGCTTGAAAAGAATGTGTACTCTGCTGTTGTTGGTTGAAGTAATCTATAATGTTAATTATATCCAATTGATTGCTGTTGTTGTATTCAACCATGTCCTTACTGATTTTTTGCTTGCTAGATCTGTCTCTATTACTGATAGAGGGGTATTAAAATCTCCAATGATAATACTGGACACAACATATAGTTGGGTCTTATTTTTGATCCACTCTGACAACCCGTCTTTTAATTGGTATATTTAGACCATTGATGTTTAAGGTGATTTTTAAGTATATTTGAA